TTTGTTACATCACGGTTCACTAAAGGTAGCAGATACGTTTTATAATCCTAATTAATTAACAAAGTAAAACTGTACCACAGATTCGCAATTTTAAGCATCTTTTAAATTCCACCGTTACGAATTTATACAATGCCTTCGTAGATAGTATGTCAAATAGTGTCTGCTGATGAACCCTTTGACCATTCAAAATGCCCAAAGGGTGTACGCAACAAAATCAAGCTGATCATATTATTAATCGGTTTGCATTATAATAGGCCTACACCTGTATTCTTCTATTAGTGTCACGAGAAATTTAATTTACATATCGTATGTATATAGATCTTTAAAACCGTAAATGAATATCGGATTTAAGCCAAAGGAAGTAACTATTGATTGGGATTTTGTTTAAAACAACAATTGTTTATGAATAATCCTTTCATTGTTTTGTGCGTGGAAATTAGTTTGCTAATGGATTTATATTGTCTGGAAACATTTTCACACGGGCTTAAATATTTTGTGTATACATCATTAAACTCTAATAAATCAATTTATTAAGAAAACACGCAATATTTCAAAGTAGCGGAACGGGAGAGGAGAACTGGTGATAATTCGAATGTTACAGGTGCAAGTAATCGCTAGTTCTTTAAAAGTCCATTTTGTAACCTAATCGCGTGAAATGGTGATAACCGTCATTTTGATTTCGTACGATATACATGTATTTGAATATATTTCAGGATCTCAGTCATAGAAATATACAAATTTATGAAAGAGAAAAGTTTTCGGTCATTTACGCCACTTTAGCTTATAATTAGTTTACATACTTTTTTTTATTAGGCAGTGATGTGCAGATTATTCAAAGTCGACCCCACATCAAACTACAAATACTGCAATAAAAACCTGCGATCGTGAAGTCTTTTGAAAGACTTTCATAATCGAGACTTTTGATCGACAGAAGATCAGAGGTTTTATTAAGCTGTGTTTTTTTTCCAACATAATCTTTATTAATCGGTGACCGTAACGACCCGAAACCCTAAACTCTCACTTCACCAACATTTTGTACTATTCTATTTTTGGGGGGTGTTTCCGCACTTCACTGCAGCTGTTTTTGTTTACATCCTTAATAGAATGGGTAAAGTCAAAACTAATACTATACTTATATTCATACATATTGTGTGTGACCTATGATTTGTAGTAGTCATATGTCAAGGTATTTTCTGTTTATCTTTTGTCATATCTCCTTTGTTATACTGACAGATAAGATCAGATAAGATTTTATTGTATCTAAACATAGACCGGAGGCTCAGTGCGGGGCGTGTCCATCAAATGGGCACAAAACCAGACCCAACTTTTCTATAGTAAAATTTTGCGTAGAATACGATACCGAGTGGTAATCAGTCCGTTGTTGGGGCATTTCAATATATTCGGGGTCAAATGTCAAATGAGGTCATTTGCACTGAAAGTGAATGCGCAGCCATTCTTGTGTCATGCCACTATGATGAAAATGATCGAAGGTAATCACTCTTTCAATATAACTGTAAACTTGCTAAATTCACCTTTGTTCCTAGTGCCCCCGGAGTTCAAAAGGTCAATTTTTCAGTGCACTAGAAAGATTTAAAGCAATAAAATGTCAGCGTAAAATATAAAAACTAAAGCGAAACCTGTTCTAATTAATAGTAGGAACATTTAAAACTTATCTTTAGGTGGTCTTAGCACCCTACATTTCGTTTGGAACGTCGAAAAGGATCTTGCATAACAGAACCAAAACACTTCGAATCCTGTTTCAAAAATACGTAAAAGCTGTCAAATCGAAATCTCCTCGATTTAGTTTAACAACGATTGTTATACATAACGAAACTAGTTGTCCGAAAAACAATTTAATAGTTTAATGGTTGGACTCCAGCCTGCAGGCCGCGTGGATTTCCGGGAATTCCAATCTGGGAAAACCGACGTTAATCTATGATCGGAAAACAGGGTATCTGACGACGTGATTAAAAGTTTGTAAATGTTTTATGAATTTCGCCGGAACATGGACACAGATAAAACCGACGGATGCATTGTACACAATTGCTCATGGGATATAAATGTCCTATTGGTAAATGTTAACGGGGAAAAGTTTGGCAGATGTTGTGGCGCGGCCTGCAGGCTGGAGTCCAGCTATGAAACTATTCAATTGTTTTTTTCAGACAACTAGTTTCATTATGTAAAGCATTCGCTGTGAAACTAAATCGGAGAGATTTTGATTTTACAGTTATACGTATTTTTGAAACAGGTTTCGAGGTGTTTTGGTTCTGTTACGCAAGATCTTTTTTGACGTTCTAAAGTAAAAGTCCGATGCTAAGGCCGCTAAAGATAAGTTTTAAATGTTCCTATTATCAATTTGAACAGATTCGCTTTAGTTTTTAGTTTTTACGTTCACATTTATTGCTTTAAATTTTCCTAAAACTAAAACGGAAAATTTGACCTTTTGATTTCCGGGGTCACAAAGAACAAAGGTGAATTCAGCAAGCTTACATTTTTATTGAAAGGGTTATTACTTTCGACCATTTTCAGCTTATTTTCATGATACAAAAATTGCTGCGCATTCACTTACAGTGCAAATGAACTCATTTAACCTTTGACCCCGAATATCACGAAAACGCCCCAATGGCGGACTGATTACTACTCGGCATTGTATTTTACGCAAAACTTTACTATCTAAAAGTTGGGTGTGGTTTTGTGCCCATTTGATGGACACCCCCTACCCCCGCACTGAGCCTCCAGACTATTAAAGGCAGGATAGCATACAAACAAAACAGTAGGGGAAAATCGAAGACCTCATCTTATTTTGGGGAATTTGCTGACCATCTTATTTTTGCGAATTTGCTGATGCAACAGACAGAGAACACCCAGGTTTTTTTTAGAAAGAGTTAAATACAATGTGTCGCCTATCCAAGGCTTGAGAACTGTTTTCGAAAAGAAAACGACGTGAAAAATAATAACTTTATTTATAAAATAATTAGAATGAAATTATAATACAAAAGATGACAGCACCAAAAGAGAGAGATATATTAACACATAACAAGGAAAAATTACCTATACATAATTTTTATATATGGACATAGAGGGTACAAGTATTATTCTTTGGCAGTAAGATATTTAAAAAGTTGTTTCTTGAAAGAATTTAAGTTAGTGGTCAGTTTTAAGTAAGATGGTAAAGAATTCCATAGGTTTGAGCCTTTAAACTTAACTTTTAGAAAACCTTTGAATACGGACCCAGAGGTGGACATGTAATATACAACCTTAGCAGAACACAGTTTTATGGGAAACAAGCACTGGTTTATAATATAGCATGACATTTCGATAAACATCACGAACATTAGTAAATGACACGTAAAGATTGGTATATTACCTGGTTTTGGCCATTTTCTTTTAAATCCATTCCCGTGACAACTTTCTGGGAAAAAATCACTATGCCCCTCGTGTATATTTTGAATATGGTTACATACTGAATCCCACTATGCCCACATAATAGTCCCATCTCCATCTTCAGTGGAGCCTGCTGACCCATAGAGGTGGTTTATGATGTTTTTTTTATCCACAACCCCACAACCCCACATCTTCACATTTTTTTGTCTTTTGACATTGTACCAATAACGTTTTATGTAGACCTATACAATATAAAAAATAATAAATGTAAACAATGGCCTTAACAAGGCATAGAAAGAAAGTACTTTAATAAATACTGGTTCATGTCTCACAAATCTCGCTTGATCTCAGCTGAGTATTTATCTGAAGTTTGCGGTCCTACTCATCACTGACAAGAACCAACAAGAGCATATTTTAGTCAGTAACACCCACAGTATTGCAAGGAAATATATGTTATAGATTAGCATATTCTACACATCATACCAAGAATTTAAATCATTTCATAAAAAATTGACAAAATTATGGATAATTGAAAATTTGAGACAGAGAGAGAGAAAGAGAGAGAGAGAGTTTAATGTCCACTCGACACAAACCAGGTCATTTCGGGACTATAATAGAAAATGACAAAAAATAACAAAAAAAAACAAAACATTCTTGAGTAGGACCCAAATTTTGAGCCACAATTGGATTAAAGATGGTTATGAGAGACTTTATGATACAGCGCGCGCACGCTAAACATTCAGCCCCCCCCCCCCCCAGATGGTTATGTCATAAAGTAAGTTTAAACTGTGGCTAAATTCCGTGACCTGAATTTAGATTTGTGCATTTGGGTGACAGTTAGGAGGTGCAGTGTGCTAGATTCAAATATCTTTAAAAATAATTCAACCTAATTTTTGCAAACTGTAAAAATGATAGCCTTGCTCACATGCCACACATTACAGAAATGATTTGTGCCTTCTAAATATTCTTGAGTAGGACCCAAATTTTGAGCCACAATTGGATTAAAGATGGTTATGAGAGAGAGAGAAATGGGGTTTAACGTCCACTCGACACAAACTAGGTCATTTCGGGACTAACATATTATGGTTTAATTTTATTTACATAATTCGCTTGCGCGTTGGGGTCTTTAGCAGTGGGAGGAAACCGGAGGACCCGGAGAAAACCCACGAAGTTGGACAGGCGACCCTACTCCTTGTCACGTACAACCGGGGATTCGAAACCACACCAGTCGGCTCAATGACAGACTTTATGATACAGCGCGCGCACGCTAAACATTCAGCCCCCCCCCCCCCAGATGGTTATGTCATAAAGTAAGTTTAAACTGTGGCTAAATTCCGTGACCTGAATTTAGATTTGTGCATTTGGGTGACAGTTAGGAGGTGCAGTGTGCTAGATTCAAATATCTTTAAAAATAATTCAACCTAATTTTTGCAAACTGTAAAAATGATATTAGCCTTGCTCACATGCCACACATTACAGAAATGATTTGTGCCTTCTAAATATTCTCTAACCCACTTTTCGATTTGTAGGTGTCTGTCTGATACAAATGTTCCTATATCTATATTGTAGGTTTTCAGCCAGTCAACACAGCGGATAAGTCCTTCTTTCTCCATATGTACACTGGATTTAACTTCATCACACTGAAATATAGCGATATCAAAAACAGTATAATATAGTGATATCAAAAAATTCAAATGAAAAATTCAAAATGGAAAATAAACTCAGACATAATTATCTTTATTCTGACTACATTAATTGATGTAGAATAACAGATGACCAAGATTACATCATAACACCATAATATTAAAGCATATGCAGTGCACAAAAATAATTTAAGTAAGTTGTATCAATTCTACAGCAAAGATTTTGTTCTCGTCTCGATCCATCATACAATAAGACTCATAATTTCCACTGGGTCACCCCTAACAACAATGGTACTACCTTGCTTTCTCGGTCACAGCTGCGTCTATATATATATATGGAGAACGATATGTGGTTGATGTTCATAAAATCAAAAAATCGTAAAGACTGAGTAGGTAGAGATCCCGAAAATAAAATATCACAAGACATCATCGAATTAGCTGCTGGAATAGTTATAAACATGTCAACAAAAATTGCACGCACTAACAAGTGTGACACATTTGGAAAAGCAGAAAAAATGAGGAAAATGCAACCATTACTTACTTAGACTGACTGGATCAGAAACTTTGCTGATGGACAGTGGGTGACTGAATGGAAGTAATTATAAAATGAATTGGTGTATGAATAAATGAAAGTTAACCTACCTTCCACTGCTAACATCGATTTATTCCCTTCTTCTGTAAGATTTTTATCTTATTTTGTGTCGCCGACTTGCAATACCAATACGTCTACGATATGGTTTAAAACCGTAACTGGTGCCTGTTAATAATTAAACAAATTTTGCAAATATGTTTTAATTGTAATTTAAAGTGTGATAGATCTAACACAAAATATAGACTACTTTATGATCAAAACAGTAATTTTACGATATACTGGCTCATGAATTATGAAATAATGATAATAATGGCATATTCCTGTTTGCTTATATTTACGTCCTGTATTATTTGTATATTTTCTGAGCTTTCATATTCTATGGTCATGGATGAAGCACTAATGTCACATAATAAGCTTACATTAACAGTCTCTTCTGTCACAGTATGACTTGTATTCCTTGGTGAGCCTTCTTTTAAAATCTACAATTTAAAACAAAAAGAAATTAAATAGACATTAGTCTACTTTTTAAAGATATATCAAAAGTCAATTAAAAATTTCAGGTAAAAAATAACAAAGTTATGTCCACCTCATGTCATTATATTAAACACTCTGTGACCAAAGCTTAAAGATACATTATGTAAGATTTAGATAAAGAACTAGCCAATCTTGCTATAATAGTTCGAAAGTAGGTGATGTAAAATGAATAATTTGAAAATTTCATTCAAAGTACTCTATTGCAAGCGAAGATATTAGCCTTTGAAGGTTTGACAGACGTGTGCATAATTTCAACCACCGTACTGGTTAATCGAAGCTAAGTCTCGGTCCTCCATATTTTATTAAATCAAAGTATCGCTGAACCATTCTAATCTATTTAATATCGGAGAAATCTGATGCCATCGAAAGTTGATTAAGGCCTGGGTCAGTTAATTAATGTCTAATTAATACTTTAGAAAACATTCCAGGCCTAAAGAAAGACCTACAATAGACAGATTTAGCTCTTGCATAATGCATTTTTAATATTTAATATTTAAAAATGTACATTGAAGTTAAAAGTTTTACTAGTTCCACGTTGAGAATAATTATTAGTACCGGTACTTAGTTTTTAAAGTTGTGAATATATCAGGATAATTGGTGTACGCGATACACGATTCGGGAACTTCTGGATTGGTACGGTCTTCCTGTAAATAAAAATATCAAGCCCAAGAGGAGTTATCCCTCTTTAGTGCCCAAATTTGGTTCCAGACCACCTTATTATTTACGCTCCCCAACTCTCTGCAGCATTTCCACTGGAAACCTTGCTGCTAATAATAATCACAACCGGATTAGGTTCAAAACACCAGATTCGGTTCCAGGCACCCAGATCATTCAGGCACGCACCAGATTCGGTTCGAAACACCAGGTTTTGTTGCACCAATGACTGGTTGTAATACCACTTTAGGTTCTACGGGCAAAGCTGGTTAATCAATTATATCTCAATGTTCTATATGTTAATATTGCAAAACACCTTGGCTAAAAAGGGCAAGATAGGTGTGTAAATGTATGGAGTCAAAGCCAAACGTCAACTCACAGTTAGGCTAACTGGAGGTCAAAGGACAAACAAAGTCAAAGGCACGGTAGGCCTAATAATGTCGGTAAACACCGAAATTATTATTATAAATCACAAGAAGCTTAATTAAGCTCCCCAACATGCACAGGTTAATCAACCTACTACAATCTCATAATTAATTTCTCACCACTAAAGGTGCATTGAGCCATGGCTATTTTCCGGACTCCAACAATACGTCCGTACACAATGAGTTGCGAAGGCCAACTAACTGGAATGATACGTACAGCGCGCCATATTACGTCACCAAATTTTGACGTCATATTACCCGATGACGTCTATTACCCCACAGAGTAAAAGTGTATTACCCCCATAGAGCTATAATTATATAACTCTATGATTACCCCCATCTATGATTACCCCCAACGTAGTATGGCGGACGGTTAGCTCGTCGACGTTTCAATCGAAAATACGGTAAGATTAGAGGCGGAAATATATTTATTTATATGCAGATATCGATAATTGGGTTTACTAATGTAGCCCATCGACTCATTGGTTCATGACACTCCATTTGTACGGAGCTATGAGGAGTTTTCGGCTACTTGCAGCCGGCGAAGAAAACAGCGCGGAACAAAATGGCGCAGTCGTAAAGGTAAACAAACCAGTGATCTCGTTAACAAAGAAAGGCACGTTCTGATTAAAATACTTCATAACAGTCAACAACTTATAAATTATATAATAATTTATACAACAATAAAAACAATAAATGTATGGTAGGGGTGTTCACAGGATCGTAACACTAGTAGCAAAGTTTCGCCGAAAACGCCCTCCAGTTTCCGATATTGTGAGATCCTCACGAAATGTAGCATTCAATAGTTGTTTGTAGGATTAAGTTCATATGGCTGTTGTAATGAACCATTATCGGATAGTTGAATAGTTGGTGAAGTGATGTTGTCATTACTGGACGAAGTCATAAAACAAATAGATATATTCTTTGGTGACATGCCTTCAGTATCGGAGTTGACACTAGTGTCCGCCAACTTGATTTAGGGAGAACAAAGGAAAAATATAGAAGTATCAAAAGTCCGTTATCCGGTATCACATCACAGCAGTAAATATATACACGAGATCATTTCACGTCAGTTTCATTATAGTCATAAATTTATCCATATTATCGTAAATAAAACCGGTAAACAATCATAAACCTCAGAGAAAAAATCTAAGCGACTCCAATTTGTCACGCGATGGCAACATATTCAATTCTTTAGTTATTATTATCATGTTCAATTTTTATAACTTTATTTACTGTTAGTCAATTGACACGAGGAAGTTGTCATATTTTCAAAGATACTGTGATTATCGTAGTGTGGTTATCCTCAAATTATATATTTATCAAACTGGACAATAACCTGTATATCTGCCAATGTCCGCCAATGATCGTAGCACGAACTGACATTGTTTATTTTCCTTTATTTATTTTAATCTATTGTATACATTATATACTTTTTCAATTCTTGCGGCAATTTTAATTTTTATATTATCTTGATCAATGTCCTTATTTTCACTGGTGTTTTAAAATAACGGATTGTAACTTGAGCACATCAGTTCAGGTTGCCTTAATATACGGTCTCTGATTATCTGTCAGTATCGTAAGGCGTGTGTTCATTTATTTACCGGTATTAAAGAATTGTAGAAATATTCGAAGTTTGTTGAATATGCGGGGCTTTACTAAAATAAACAAGCAACACATTATGAAGATTGCCAATATGATGCATCTCTGTCCACTTGCTGGTTTTGTGGATCGAAAGCCACGATAATTACCGTAAGGGTCAGGGTAACGGTTACGTATTGCCCAAACGCAACAGCTTGGTAAAGGTTTTCTAACCCCTTTACCGAGGGAGCCATGGATATCCTTCGATAATTTTTTATACATATTATGTCGCAGTTCTTGATTTTCTCTTTGCCCGAATTTGTTTGATTTTATCATCTCCTGCAATGTACAAATACATAGAATTAATGGTAGAACTATCTATGCACTGACATCTCCCAAAACATCTTATCATAGCTTTAAAAGATAATAATAAAACCAGAGACTGTAATGCCGGGAAAGTTGGGATATATCAGGCAGGAAACAATAAAATTATACAAAACGACCAAAGATATTTTGGTAAATAGGCAAAAAAGTGTGGGCTGTTCGCAGCCAATGGGTTTGCTTACTACTACTTGAAGAAATAATACTGGAATATTTTAATGACGACTAAAATATTAAAATGGAATAAATAACATATTTGTGCATATTTTTGCTTGATAAAGATTCGTCAAATCCGGTTAAAACGTAGCAGTGTAATAAACCATTTTGTTATCCCATAAAAATTGTGTTATTTGATTATATTATGAATTTTAACTAGACATCTGTTAATTAAATTGCCTATTTGATTTGATTTGATTTGAAGCATGGTTATCACCAGTCAGTGTTTGGTAAACAAATGGAGTTATTCGTAATTAGTTATTCGTAATTGTCTAATTATATTTATATTCGGGACATAATAATATGTCTCACATTCGGAATTCGGATATTACGAAGAATGAGAATTTCGCGGGTCAGTAAAAAGTTATAATGTATTCAAAATTTATTGCAAATGAACATTAAATGCTTAGGGCATGCTTAGTCTTTTTAGAACACCTGATTCCACTTCTCTTTTGAAGAGACCAAATAGAAGGCACTCTTTCGAAATATATTAGTAAACAAAACTGATTTTTATGGTATCCTAAAATTAATCGGTCATACGCCATACAGTGTGCTATAATTTTGCCCGGACAGAGGAATCATTTACGTGCACGCCAATGTGAACAGGGGGTCTCGGTTGTTCGCGTCATCCGAACGACGAGACAGCTGTCCTTGCCAGGCTATCCATCCTGCACCACTGACAAGGGGAAAATCAGTCTTACTGAGACACCGCAGCTCCCTCGACTTCGACGAGGTTGCCTACTAGGGTGTAGGGGGGGGGGGGTGACTATAATATGTCCTCCTTTTCTGAAAAAGTGCCCTCGAATTCATAAGAGTTTTCTTAAATACTCATAGAAAGGCCCGCGTCAATGTGTCATCATTATCCCATTGCCCTAATTCTAACATTGTGTCCTCAGTTCCTGTTGCCCTTCCTTTGTTTCGAACTGATACAGCAATACTAAAAACCAATCGCGTGCAATGTACATATACACCACCAATCAATCATCTTGCTTGTCGGCTATCAGGCCGATCAGTGGGACAGGAAACAAGTTAAGCGATTGTGGCTTGTATAAAATTTTCTTTGAAATCAGTTTCGAGTTTTAAAAAGTTTGCAGTTTGCAACCGTTTATAATCACAATTCCGAATATATTCGCTCGGCAGTAGAATTTTCAGGGGGGGGGGGGGGGCTGGGTAGCTGACTGGTTACCATGGGCCTCTATCGCAATGAAGAATAGATGTCATGGACAGAAAACGAAACTATTCTGCACCTCATTCATTTTTCTCATTGGGATTTAGGTCATTATAGCTTTCAGTGTCTGAAAACAGATGAGTAGTAAGTAGTAACTGTACTCGTTTATCGTCAGAACAACTTGCTTTAGACCAAAATATGTTTGAGTTGGGCACAAATTACTGGAGAAAACGACACGGGCTAATATTTTGTTTAGACTTCACAGTCGGATTAGATTTCACAGTTGGATTAATATATCCATAATATTCAGAATCAATGAATCTGTCTTTGCTTTATTTTTTTCGCTAAACGAACATTAGAGACTTTTGGCAAGCGAATTTTTTCCCATCCGTATCATGTCATTGTAGTTTAAGAGTTTTGGCAGATCACCATCAGTAGGCTACTAGTCAAGTGCCTAGTCTACAAATTCCTAGAGGGAGTAAAGTCGCACGACAGTCGCTGAGCTATTAAAAAACATTTAATTTCGAATATTATTAAAAATCTTAGACTTCGACTCGACAGCATTTTTTGGTTTCACTAATGTATCATTTACCATAGAATCATATCATTTAGAGATTTGCAAGGTCCCACCTCCCTAAAGTTAGCACGTGACGTAGATCAACCAGCATGCAGACAGACAGGAAAAATATGAAAATTCCCATAAAAGCTCATCAAAAATAATGATTAAGTTCCAGTCTTTATCATGGTTAAAATCACATCAAATATACACCTTTGTGTTCTAGGATACACATAGATTCATAAACACGCTATATGCCACAACATTTCAGCGTCTAAAAGTAGCAAAAAGAGGGTAAAAAGATGACGATATTACACGGACCTTTTCCGTATGAAAGCTGTTCGATACGTGCTCAGGATTTTCCGACGTGATTTCCCCTTGTCAGTGGTGCAGAACGGAGGGCCTGACAAGGACAGCTGTCTAGTCTTTCGGATGAGACGAAAAAACGAGGGCCCGTGTATATATTGGAATGCACGTAAAAGATCCCCTGGCAGTTGGAATTCGATATAAGAGTAGGCGATAGTGCCGCTGCCCGGGCAAAATTTCCAATAGCACACTGTATGGCGTATGCCAGTCTTTATTAGCCCAGTATAGAAGCAGAACAGTAGGACGTTAAACCCCATTTCATTTCGATACGTGCTGCCGTATCCGTGTGCCGTATCACGTATGAGAAAACACATACATTGATGACGTCACAAGCATAATCGATATGGATACGTGATACGGACCAGAAATTTTACGCTTGCCAAAAGTCTCTATTGTCATTTATTCTGTCTCCAGTATTTCCTTGGCCGGGCTTAAAGTAAACTTTTTTACACCGGTGTCTAAATCAGGACCATCTTCTCGTTTTTCGGACTGTGTCAGTTTACTCTTTTTAATGGTGAAGAAAACAAAAATAGTAATTTGTTAGCAATGAGTTAGTAAGGCATGTTAAAGCCAAATCTGATAAAGGAAATCCGTCAAAGCTGTAACCTCTATCGCATTATCGACCCAAAAGTTGATGAAAGGACCGACGGACAACCATGACGATATAATGCAGTCACACTGAAATGTGAACCTACAGAAATCCGTCATACCAATACCGGAGCGAAATAGCTTACCAAAGACAACGATCGGCACTCATCCCTTCCTCCGCAGCAAACCCTTTCATCCTTAGTTGGCATATTAGAACACTCACGGCAAACACACCATTCGGGAGGACAGTCTAAAAAAAATACACGTATCGTAATGATTTCTATAAAGTTTCATTCAACAACTTCAAGCTGTATATTGGTGTCTTGATTTTAATGCACAAGGAGCAATATTTAATCGACAAAACACTTTAGTAACGCCACATTCTGCCACTGGTCCTTGCGCGACTACCGCAGATCGCTACGAAATTTGACAAAAGCAAGAATAGACAAGTATAGACAGGTACATTGTATACACTATAAATGTACGTGTATGTGTATCTGTATGTGTATCGAAACGTAGCATGTTAATAAATTCAGAAGTAGTATATCCATATAAGTGTGTTTTATTTTTAGTGAAATCTATTTCTATATGTCTTATAAGGATTATACTATAAATTTTGACCAAAAATATTATCTATAAGTTGTAACATACGTCGTTATAATTGATAGATATATATTATTTATTTCTATCTTATCTTAAAGAGATCAAGTGAGAAAACAATATGATATGTACGTGTAGCCAATGGTTACTATATACACATTAGGGCACGTACACACCAATCTGATTAAAATTATTCGATATATTAACGTATAAGTATCGGACACACGAAAACACTTTAATTTTCAATTACAGCCTTAATCCGGTCAGAGGAACCACACATAGAATATACACTATTATGATCGTATCACTGTTTATACACAGCGTCAGTTGAGTAGTGTTTATTGACGGTTCGATTGTGACTGAAATATTTTAGAGTGAATTTTAAAATGCCGCATTACCATGGAAAGACATAGCCAACTTCCGCGTATTATCATGTATGTTATTGGTTTACGTGACCTTTCAGGGGTATTTCGCGCCCAAAGCAACCATTTTACTAGTTTCGTAATAAGCAGCGCCGTAGGCGATGAATTCCATGCGACAGCAAGATCGTGTGAAAGTGCCACTGCAGATATGAATTTCTGTATTGAGTCTTAAAAGACGTAGTTTCAATACGAGAAAAAGTTAAAGGTGTTAATAGGCAGCGATTCGTAGTTTCCACATGCTGTCGTTTGACTTCAAGGAGATTAAAATGTCCCACAACGCAGAAACCACGAGTTGATCACGCAGATAAAGTAGGCACATGTGGCATTTTTCTTTTGTATGTGTCGATGATTGGGCCGGCGTTATGTATTTTTTTTTTTTCGTCAAGGCCAATATAAAGACTGTACGTGCATCCATTTTTGGGTGCGGGAGGGGCCCGGAAACAACTTATTTAATTTGTATTGCCTAAAACAAAATCTAAATAGGATCTAAATTTAAAATAAACTACAAATCAAATTATCTCGTCGTGAATTGTTTTATTTAATTAGGGGATTAAGGAATCCGTCAGTCTTTAATGAGTACACATTCTGGTGTGTATACGTAATTAGGGAATAACCGTTCCTAATAATAATATGCGTTCGGTCACTGTGGCGTCACTGGCGACTGGGGGGATTAAGAGTGTTCTGATTGGCAAAGTCGTTTTTACGGGAGGTCTATATTGAGTGAAGATGGCTCAATTAATATTATTCAGATTGTTGTCAACTTGCCGTAATACGTACTTCTCTATACTGTACGTACATATAATATTGTTTTTTCACTTGATGTGTCCTTTAACGCCTAGCTCACAACCCGCCGTACGTGTTTGGACACGCACCGGTCGTATGACTTGGTAGCTCGCAGACCAGCCGGAACAAACCGGGCGAAAATTTTGCATGTGCAGGACAAAATTTCTCTACGGCCTGTCTGCGATGTTCTACTGTGCCGAACATACGCAAGTGATGCTTAAGTCTCACGCACGGGTTTACTCAAATTCTCCCGTAGGCTGCCCGTAGTAGCACATACGCCGGGTTGTGAGCTAGGCTTTAAATTTCTTATAAGCATATCCAACCTCGTGGGTTTTCTCCGGGTCCTCCGGTTTCCTCCCACAGCTAAAGACCCCTACGCGCAAGCGAATTATGGAAATAAAATTGAACCATATGTTAGTCCCGAAATGACCTAGTTTGTGTCGAGTGGACGTTAAACCCCATTTCTCTCTCTCTCTTATAAGCATAATGTCACGTATGTCACCAATGGCACGGAAAAGCTCATATATGATACTAAGTAGGCCCACTACCTTGTAACACCGTCTGCAGCCTTTCAGACCAACCAGCATCACCAGTCATCGAAATAACCTTTGTCCTGCTCCTGCTAACAATCTTAATGTATTGGTTGTCTTCGTCGTTTTCTCTTGGCTTTTCCCAAACTAATACACGAATACTCCGTCCCGTATCGTTCACAAACCGACTGTCATCAGTTCCCTGATTTAGAACACGTTCGTGACTAATTTTGAATCCGCTTATTTTCAAGTGATCCTCAATTCTTTGCCTGGTTGTGTCTTCACAAAATATCACAAAATCTTCTTTAATTGTTTCCATTGCAGAGGACTGTATCGTGTAAGACTGAGCTTGTCTCAATATGACTCAATTTATCTCCATTAATTAAATATCTATGTCACAACTGAATATACAGGTCGCTACACTCATTAACAATAGAAGAAGTCATTCGATTAGGGGTGCTTTATACCGTCTTTGATATCATAACAGCTTATCGACTATTTATATCTACAATGTAACCAATAGGCCATACAAATTTGAAATGTAAGCTTATCAGCCAGGTATACTTATAATTTAAACACCAGTTCCTTTTACAGTGGCGTATCCAGACTTGTTTGCAGGGGAAAGTCCATGTGGAGAGATAACGTCACATTTTGCATTAAGTATTGGAGATTACCCGAGAATTTTTATAAAATCGGAAGCTCCCACTGCTATATTTCTTTTAGATGTATAAATCTTTAAAATGTGATTTCTATTTATATTTTGCAGGGGCAGTGAGTTCCGCAAGTCCTTTTCAAATTTAAAGACATTGCCAGCATTTTTTCCTGGAAAGTGGTACTTTAACATGTACTCCGATTAAAAATCTTCCAAGCATATTAGGGCTAAGAACCCCAACAATCTTACAGGAAAGTCCTGACAGATCAAATATATTCCTATCCGTTCAAAGCAAAGAGACAGAGCGTGATGTTCAATCAATCTATGAAAGTATATACATTAAAGAATGTGATCACCTGTATGCGGTAAAATCTGACTACCCCGTCATATTAATGTTTATACCACTTTTTTATATGAGCCAAGCAGCAGCCCACTTGATATCCCTGTTTGGCGAACAAGACATTACTAATTCTTTGTTCTCCATCTTATACTCCAATCAAGACAAGGCGGTAATAGATACAACAATCAAGTCTTTAAAAACTGTGAATCCCAGAATTCGTTTGATTCTTACAACATCAGTTGCCGGCATGGGATTTGATCCAATGTGCGTTGTACGCACAATTATGCATGTCCACCAAGGAGTGTGTCACAATACACAATATTTGCAGGAAATTGGGCGATCTGGACGACAAGGCCAACCATCTCAAGCCATTTTATTTTATAATAACCATGACATTTCAAAAAATCTTACTGGTATCCAGCAAGACATCATAGATTACTGTAAGAATATGGACAATAAATGCTTGAGGAAACTTTTGCTAACAGTGTTTGGATTTGATAAAAACAATACTATTCTTAGTTGCAAGTGTTGTTCTGTTTGCAAGACTACATGTGTACATGCCATGTGTACATGCCATGTGTACATTGACCTCTGTAATTCAATTAGGCGGAACGTTATTGCCTCAGTTGTCATCCAATTATTCCTACGCCGTCACGAAACAAGGGTCAATGCTACTTTTAGTCTTTCTCTCCCATTCGAATCCCCCTTTTGGATGACGATCTTTGTTATGGAAGGGTATCGCTGCCAATATTAAATGCTCTGCTAAAATATCTTTTCTATTGATTACGTGTAAAAAGTACAATGAACAAAGTCTTAATACCGGTAATGATAAAGTCAAATTACCTCTAAGGCCAAAGTTAAATGTAAAACGCCAATAATGCAATGTGTCAAATGTCAATTTTTTTTATTGGAAAATGCTGTTTTTGACGTGTCTACTTTTGACATTTCCCTCATCACATTTTACATTTGCGTTCTGTCGCATCTAAATTGTCCTTCACGCTTTCTACATAACATCTTAAGCAGAAACCAAGTAAAGTTTGATATATGCAAATGTAAGATATCACGTGACTTAACATATACAGGTCACAATTCTATGGAATACAATTACTGCTTTTTACTGAGCGACGTTTCGACTAGGCTTCTCTAGTCATTATCAAGCTATGACTTAACATATACTATTCAAAAAAAGTAGGGGATATTTGATTTTGGGGGCATAATACTAAAATATGCAAATGACTACGAAAAAAGTCACTATAGAACCTAACAGAAGAAACATTTCCAGTTACATGTGACGCCCAAACGCACCAATAGCTACCGCATGGAATGCAGGTGATGCTTGGGATCATCATGGGGGTCCAACCCAAGATTTGCACGACTCTGACTTTGAATGTTACAGTCATTGTGGCATTGAATTCCAGGGTGGAAACATCAGTTTAATTGTTTTAGTGACCAGAAAACAAATTTTGATATGCGTCGGCTTACCCAAAATGAAAGGTTACGTGCCCTTGGCATGCTACAGATCGGCACAACACAGGCGGTTGTGGCGCGGACGATGAATGTTTCTCAGTCTGTCATAAGCAGGCTATGGTCCAGATACCGTGATACACAATCTGTACAGGACAGACCACGCTCAGGTCGACCAAGGGCGACAACTCAAGCCCAGGATCGATTTATCCGTACCTTGGCCTTGAGAAATCGTGTCATCACAGCAAATCAGATCAGCGCTCGTCTTCAAACAGACACTGGTGTGAGAGTGAGTGGCCAGACGATTCGGAATCGACTGCATAGGGGTCACCTTCGCGCCCGACGTCCTCGCGTGATCCCTTGTTTGAGAGATCATCACATTCAGGCAAGACGTCGTTGGTGTAGGGATCGTCAACACTGGGATAATCGACGCTGGAGCAATGTGATGTTTTCAGATGAGTCAAGGTTCACTGTTGATTTTTGGGACAGACGTAGGAGGGTGTGGCGTCGTCGAAACGAGCGCTTCCAAGACGTTAACGTCATCAGACATGATCGATTGGGGGGTGGTTCTGTTATGGTGTGGGGAGGCATCACTGTTGCTGGAAGAACGGCTTTACATGTTGTTGCAGGGCGTGTTACAGGCCAGTACTACCGGGACAACATCTTGGCAGTCCATGTTGTGCCGTTCGCACGACGTCATGGCCGCCGTTTCATCTTCCAGGATGACAACGCAAGATGTCACAGGGCCAGGATCGTTACAGGTTACCTCCAACAACAGAACATCACCACATTACCTTGGCCAGCACTGAGTCCCGACCTCTCCCCCATCGAGCATGTCTGGGACATGCTTGGACAGAGGTTACGTCAACGTCAACAACGTCCTGCCAATGTCCAAGAACTTGCTGCTGCGTTGCAACAGGAATGGGACAATCTGGACCACAATGACCTTAGACGTCTCATTAGGAGTATGCCACGTCGGATCAATGCTTGTTTGGCAAACAGAGGAGGATTTACCCGTTACTGACTTGGTTGTGATGCTGTGGTAACTTTGCTGTTTGACCCCGGGTATCATTTTACCCTTATAATGGTCAGTCTGTGCCTTACTTAGTCTAACGATCATTTGGAATAAATCGATGAATGTGAACTTCATTTCATTTTGTCATTTGTTTCTTCGTCAGTTTCATTAGGTGACTTTAATAACACTTAAAAATCAAATATCCCCTACTTTTTTTGAATAGTATATATGGAAACGAAGCCGAGTTCAAACTGGCACACTAAGCCAAGACTTTATAAGATATATGTACATTGTCTGCGATATCACCTCGGTGGAAGCAGACGTTAAATAAAGCTATTTCACACACACAAGATATTTACCCCACCATATTAAGGCAATCAACTTGGCAACATATAAGAAATTCACGGGACGACCGTACCTGCAATAAAATCACGTGATTGGTTTGGTTAAGCTAGTTTACAGTCAGACAGCGACACATTTCTTTCGACAAATCAAGGAGAACTTTTCTTTCTCTAAAGTACGTAATTATGAATGTGCCAGGAAATAACTTACATGTATAGATCAAAGAGCCATAGAAACATATACTTTCCAGTGATGTATAATACTGGAATTTCGTATTAAGACCCGTATTTTTGGCATTAACTTTAATCCAATTATTAAAAAACGTATAATCATTGTGCCCAGCAAATAATGAATATACATGTAGGCTACTTAAAGAGAGGAAACAGTATACATAAACGTGCTTTTCACTGATGTAACATGATATCGTATTATGACCCGTATTTTGACATTGCATTCCCTCCCCCTATCCGTAATCATGGTAATATAGTTTAGTACCATCCAAATTTGATCGTTTTTTTCAAGGTACCGTAAGTACATTTCTTATAGTGTGCCACCAGGTTGATTTCCCCTTATCGTGTGCTGGCGTAATAGTGTACCGGGTTGATATCGGCCTCGTTTTCGTATATGTTAATAATTCACGTGATATCCTACATTTGCATATCATACTTGCTATCTAGAATTAGAAAGCGTGAATATCAAATGAAATGCGGCAGAACGCAAATGTAAAATGTAATGAGGGAAATGTAAAATGCAGGTCTACACGCTATGCCACAACATTTCAGCGTCTAAAAGTAGCAAACAAGAGGGTAAAAAGATGACGATATTACACGGACCTTTTCCGTATGGAAGCTGTTCGATACGTGCTCAGGATTTTCCGACGTGATTTCCCCTTGTCAGTGGTGCAGAACGGAGGGCCTGACAAGGACAGCTGTCTAGTCTTTCGGATGAGACGAAAAAACGAGGGCCCGTGTATATATTGGAATGCACGTAAAAGATCCCCTGACAGTTGGAATTCGATATAAGAGTAGGCGATAGTGCCGCTGCCCGGGCAAAATTTCCAATAGCACACTGTATGGCGTATGCCAGTCTTTATTAGCCCAGTATAGGAGCAGAACAGTAGGACGTTAAACCCCATTTCATTTCATTTCATTTCGATACGTGCTGCCGTATCCGTGTGCCGTATCACGTATGAGAAAACACATACATTGATGACGTCACAAGCATAATCGATATGGATACGTGATACGGACCAGAAATTTACGCTTGCCAAAAGCCTCTATTGTCATTTATTCTGTCTCCAGTATTTCCTTGGCCGGGCTTAAAGTAAACTTTTTTACACCGGTGTCTAAATCAGGACCATCTTCTCGTTTTTCGGACTGTGTCAGTTTACTCTTTTTAATGGTGAAGAAAACAAAAATAGTAATTTGTTAGCAATGAGTTTGTAAGGCATGTTAAAGCCAAATTTGATAAAGGAAATCCGTTAAAACTGTAACCTATATCGCATTATCGACCCAAAAGTTGATGAAAGGACCGACGGACAACCATGACGATATAATGCAGTCACACTGAAATGTGAACCTACAGAAATCCGTCATACCAATACCGGAGCGAAATAGCTTACCAAAGACAACGATCGG